AAGAAACGGGTGAAGCAGGGCCCACCACACTCACTCGGCACCTGGAAGCACGGGCCTGTGACAGATCCCCGAGGCCTTGGTCCCAGAGCTGCGCCAGGTGTCTCCACACTCGGCAGGTGGGTGTGTCACAGTGCCGAACCCCTCGCCTCGGGTTTGAGATCAGATTTGACCCACTACCTAGGAGGGGGGATCGAGGCACGCCGCTCAAAGCCCCCATCTGGCACGGCTCACGACGCTCTCCTGGAAGCTTTCCTCTAGAGGCGGTGCTGAGATCCAAGCAGGTTTCCATCGATGGTCTCTGCTGCCACGAATTCTTTATTTCTTGTGCAAAGTTGCAGAGGCAGAGAGCAGAGCTCTCTCTTCACTGACTTGAGCAGGAGCCACACAGCCTGGCGGTGCATACCTCCTGCTGAGAGCCTGCAGCATGATCTCTACACAGCTGGAGGAAGCCGGGAAGTGTGGTTTTCCTGTGTGCCTAGGAGATGCTGTGGGGCATGGGGACACCCACCATTGTCTCTGACACCCTCATCTGCAGCTAATCTGCTCAGCGCTTTGCCCATCTACCCATTTGGTTCTTGTCCTGGTCCTCATTAGACTGCAGGAGCTCCTCAGATATCCTAAAAGCTAGACTCCGTTCGTCCTAGTGCAGATATCCGAACATCTGTTCTTGGTCTACTAGCTTTGTCCATGGCGCCCTGCACTAAACACAATTCCCAAATTCATTCATTTCTTCCCTTATAGTCTTGCTTTTAAGTATGCTTTAAAGGAGTCCTTTTCTCCATAGGTCACAAAGATATTCTCCTATAGCTTTTCTATTTTATAAATTTGTAGTTTTGTATGTTTTGAGAATGTAAATACCTAGGATAGGATAAAATACCTGGGAATAAATTTAACCAAGGAGGTGCAGATCTGTGCACTGAAAACCATGTATCGGTAAAACCATGTATCTATTGGTGAAACTGCTGCCTCAGAGGCCCAGGCATGCCCGTGTCCACTGCAGTGTTGTTCACAGTGACAGCCTGAGTGCCCATTGCTGGGCGAGTGGATAAGGGAAAAAATGCATATATGCGGTTGACCTTGAACAATATGGGGGGCTTAGGGGTGCTAACCCCCTGCACAGTTGAAAATCCACATATAACTTTTGACTCCCCAAAAACTTAACTACTAATAGGCTACTGTTGACTGGAAGACTTCCAATAACATAAATAGTAGATTAACATACATTTTGTATGTTATATGTATTATATACACTATTCTTTCAATAAAGTAAGCTAGAAAAAGAAACTTTTTTCAAATTGTCACAAATTTCCAAGAAATTTTCCAATATTTTTATTGAAAAAATTCCATGGATCTATGCAGTTCAAACCTGTGTTGTTCAAGGTCAACTGTGTACACAATAGAATATTACTCAGCCATAAAAATGAAGGAAATCCTGCAGTTTGTGGAAACAAGGCTGGATCTTGAGGGCCTTATGCTGAATGAAATTAAGTCAGAGAAAGACACACACTGTATGTATGACCTCACTTATATGTGGGATCTTAAAAATGACACAACTCATAGATACAGAAAGAGATCAATGGTTGCTGGAGGTGGGAGGTGGGGGCTGGGCAAAATGGGTGAAGGTGGTTAAATACAAACTTCCACTTATAAGGTCAATCAGTTCTAGAATGCAATGTATGCAGCATGGTGGCTATAGTTAGCAATACTATATTGAATATTTGAAAGTTGCTAAGAAAATTAATCTTAAAAGTTCTCATCACAAAAAAATTGTATCTGTATGAGGTAATGGATGTTAACTAAACTTAGTTTGTTGATCATTTCAGAATATATGCATATACCAAATCATTAGGTTGTTCACCTGAAACTAATACAATGTTATATGTCAATCTCAGTAAAACTGGAGAAAAGAAAGAAGTCCTTTCCCTCATAGGTCATAAAAATATTATTTTCTCTGTTTCATACATCTGTAATTTTTTACATCTTGGTCTTTAATCCACCTCAAGTTTATCTTTATATGTGGTGTTACCTAGAAACTGATTTCCATTTTCTTTATATGGTGAGCCCATTTTCCAAACACTGTTTGCAAAACAATCCGTCCTTCCTATTGGTTTGTGGGGGCTCCTTAAAGACAGCCTGGGCTTCCATGGTCCCTCTGGTGTTCTGTGCAGGCCCCTTGTTCCAATGGTCATTCTCAAAATGTACTGGTTTTGTGATGGTGGCTTTACATTAGGTCTTAACATGGTCAATACAATCCCCCTACTCTTCCTTTTCAAGGTTGTTCCAGCTATTTGTGGAGTTTCTGATCCATCCCAGAAGGCAGGTTCTGGGGCAGAGCCAGGAAGGAAAGCACTGGAAGGAAGAAATGGGAAGAGATGCAAAGTCGGGAAGGTGGGAGGACTGTCAGCTTAGCTCAGCAGTGGGCTTGTCTGTGCAGGGATAGCACAGGTACAGGGCACAACGGGAGCTCTGCACGAGCCAGCAGTGCCCTGGGGAGACAGACGACCTGAGACAGAGGCATGTGGGCATTGGGAGGGAGACGGGGTTGCAGACTGGGGTCTGGGTGGGCTGCCCCGGGGAGGCTGGCGGAGGCTGGTGAGCCTTTAGCATAGTGCTTGAGCTCAGCCTTTGCAGTTCGGTTTCTTGGTTCTGTTCCTTACTAGCTGCTGTGCAAAGCCCTGGGCACAATACCTGTGTGGTCTGATGTTCTGTTTTCTCAACGACAAAGTGGGTATAATAATGCCTCTGAATACAGGACTGGTACAGAATCTGTGCTCTAATATTACCTATTAAATGGAGAAGAGAGGAGCAGTATGTTAGGCATAAAGTCAAAATGAGCAAGGCAGCTTCTCAGCAGCACCAGGAAACTCCGAGGTCCTTGGCATTCCTGGGTTTGCGAACAAGGAGGCAGCCAGTGGTAGTACAAAGTTCAAAGTTGTACGAGTAAATGAAGTACATACAGGTTGCAGGCACAGTGTCTGGCACACGGCAAGGCCTTAGCTGTGGCTGCTGTTGTGAAGCACTGTCCCCTCCCCCTGCCTGCTCGTGACCTCTAGTGCTGCTCTGCAGCCCCTCAGGGCCCCTTGTGCTTCCGCTGCCTGCACCTGGACTTGGTCACTGACTTCTCTAGGAGCCTCTCATTTCCCCACAGGGCCTGCGCCCAGCATAGCCTCAGGCTCCCAGTAGACCTCAGGTGCCCTGGGAACCTGCGGGGGAAGGAGGGGAGGCAGGAGGGCAGCAGCCTGGCTCTGCCCCCACTATAACTCAGCACCTGTTGAGTCGCTAAGTCAGAGTGACCAGTCTGAGATTTCCAATATTATCTTAGGCAGCCTTTCCCTCTGAACCTTTCTATCAGGGCTACCAACCAAGAGTTGCCAGTGAGGCCCCCACCCACGGAATCAAAGCGGAGTGACTTTCGGAGAGATGCTCCCAAGGCCTAAGGGGCTGGACAATTTGAGAACAGTGCTGGCTCTGCCAGGACAGCTGCAGCGGAACTTCCCGGGGAGGTGGGCTGACTGCCAGAGCGCCTGGTCCTCCAGCCTTTGAACCCCCCAGGGCGCAGCCTCTTCACACTCGCCTTCCTCTTGCCCCTGCCCTGCCTGAAGTCGTCTGCTTGGATGTTGGCCAAGGGCAGGGAGTAGGGCTCCTGGCACGGGTGAGGGCAGGGGCCTCACCTGTTCACATGACCTGTTGGAGGCCAGAATGTTGAGAAGGGCAGATCAGTGTCCCGAATGCGGCTCAAAGCTGCACAGATCAAGAGCGCCGTGCGGTAGGGCAGAGTGCCGTGTGGGCCTTGGTGTCCCTCGAGCAAGGCCTGAGACTCTCGCTGTTGTGGCCGTGCACACCAGGGCTGACCTGTGGCCGAACAGCAATGTCTGGCTCTGAGTTACGAAGGCGAGGAGGCACAGGCCTCACCTAACGTGAAGCTTCCAGCCTCACTGCTGCTGGGTTTCCCTATACTCAGTCTGCCTGCCTTCCTTCCCTACAGAGGCTGTGCTGAGCCTCAGGTGTCCAAATTTCCTGGGACCCAGACCTGAGCAGCCGCTGCCGGGTCTGATCACAGGCACACCGTGGGCTCCCAGGAGGGCGCTGCACTCTGCTCAGCACCACACGGTGGCCCCTTCCCTGGCTGGACTCACTGCTCAGCTCTCAGCCAAGGTCAGCTCTTAGGCATCTGTTTATGCCTAAGGTGCCAGGTCTGGTCCCCACAGCTGGATGAGGGCTGGTCATGTCCCTCAGTTCTCCCCTGGGCCTTGGAGAATTCCCCAGGGAAGAAAAAGGTATGGGCTTTCCTTCATTCTGTTGCTTCCACTTGTTTAAGCACTAAGTTCTTTGCCCACCTCCAACTCTTGAGCAGAAAGCACATACTTCCCAGGCCAGGTGGGCAAGGGGGCCAGGCTGCAGGGCTGCCCAGCCTCTGCTGCTCACAGGCCTTGTCCCAACCTGGCCTTGAAGTGGGTAGGTTCCTAATTGATCATCCCTGATTGGGTAGTTAGCTTCTCAGTCCAGACGTCTGTTGTCTTAAGCCCGTCATCCCGCCTTCCCTAGGGCAGGACCCTCCTCCCCCCATCAGCCTCTGCACTGCACGGCCAGCTTCCACCCCCTGGAGATGGAGCAGCACCAGATGCTGATGGAGGCGCTGTCTTCAGTGGGGCAAAAAGAATTCTTCTGCCTGCCCTTTCACTTCAAGATGCATGACAAGGTGGAGGGAAGGAGGGGAGGGGAATGCTTGCTAGCTCAGGGTCACAGGCCAGCAGAAGTGGCTGCACCAGGAGAGCTCTGGAACCCCATTAGGGCAGCTGCAGTGTCCCCAGCCCCTCAGCACAGCCCTTCTGGAGGCCAGCCAGTGGGCTGCGGTCACTGCCCAGGTGGGCAGGTGATCCTGGTACTGGGGCCCCATGGAGGCAAGGTGCCCCCACAGCCCTTGTTTTACGGGCACATCCCAGTCCCCTAGGCGTGTGAATTTGCTTACTGAGGGGAAATGATACTCTTTCACACAGAAGACAAAAATAATGACTGTCTTTATTCTGCTTTTTGCCCACCAGTGTGAACAGTGGTGGGTAGACATGCGCCCACCACACTGAGGATGCTTTCTATTTGCTCCCACTTTCCTTCCCATGAAGACTCTAAAAATTAGCCATGAGCAGGGTGAGCAGGGCTCTTCTCAGATGCAGGTGAACTTAGGTTACATCCCAGGCGAATCACTGCCAGGCCAGCGGCATGAGGGCCACCTCAGCCAGCACGGTGTTCCAGAAAACCTGTCTTCTCCATGTCTCCCAAATGTCCTGTGGAACGCAGCAGGGCCCTGGCGGCTCTCCACCTCCCAGGAGTGGGGTGCTCGCAAGGGACGCTGGTTACCACCTTCGGAGTTAAAGCTCTGCTGCCCTCTGGGTCGCTGAGCGCTGGCTTGCTCCCAGACCAGACTAGTGTCAAGCGCGAAGCGCTGAGGCCCAGTCCCGTCCGGCTCTGGCACACACCCCTCCACGTGATCCTCCTGCTCGCCCCAAACAGATTTTTTTACAGGTGATTTTAAGAACAATTTGATGAGGACTTAAAACATTAATTACTGGGGCCAGAAATGTTATTCTGTCCCTCTATGAGGCTGGTACCAAGTGAAGTCTGGCCCTGGTTACATTTTTTAACTGGTATTTAATTCTTTAAAAAACATTTCTTTAAAAAAAGTTAAGCAAAATGCAGCTGGGAAAGGGAGCCACTGGCTGTCAGGTGCTTCTGGTCATGTCTTTTCTCCCACAGGGAAGACCTGACGTCCAGCCTCTTGGGGAGACAACCTGGTGGCCATAGTGCAGAGCCAAGGGGCCCATAGGAGATTCTCTGCCCAGTGACTTGTTTTCCTTGTTACTCGCTGTGCCAGTTGCCTGTGGCACATGCAGGGAACCCCAGCTCAGCACCCAACACTGATCCCTTGATGCTGACTGGATGGCTCCACCCTTAGTGACTGCGGAGGCCTGGGAGCAGGTCAAAGGCAGCTGTCTCAGGGGGAGGTGGCTGATGCTGGTGGCTCTGGGCTGCAGAGATGGCACAGAAAGTCAGGAGTGCTGGCTCAGGCATGCCCTGCAGTGGCCGGCCAGGGTCCTGGGATCGCTGCCTGTGCAGAGGACCAGTGTCTGTCTAGTAAGTTACATTCCCGAGAGGAGATGGAAGATTCAGCCCCACATTTACTATCATGAAAAATAAATGCACAGGCCCACAGGCTCCAGGCAGATCTGAGGTTACCTGGTGGGAGAGTCAGCCCCCAGGGGTGTGGGGTGAAGTTCCCACAGCCCTCCTCACCCCTTCCTCATGTGTACGCTAGTCACCACCGCTTAATAGGTCTGTGCCTGTCCGCAGGCTGGTCCAAGAACCTCAGACCCTTTGATGTCCTGCCCTCCCACGGATCCTGTGGTTTGGTCACCAGCCCAGGTTAGATGGAGGGAAGGAGGCCCTGATCAATTAAGGGATGTGCCTAAGGCGATGTCTGATGCTGGGGAGGAGGCAGAGAGAAGCCTGTCTGATCTGGAACCCTAACCCACCAACTCCCACTCCCTACTGCCCTCACAGGGAGCCTTGACTCTTTCATACAGGTGTGAAGGGCGCACACCTGCTCCTGCCACCCGGGGGCCCCTCTCCAGCCTGGAGGGTGTCCCAGCCACCTACTTAGCAAGCATTTGATACAGCCATCCTCTTCCGGGCTCTCGGATGCTGGCCGGTGTGGGGAAATCTGCCCCTTGGGTCCTGCCTGGCCAGCCCCAGGGCTGGGCCACTCCCACGGCTCCAAGGCCAATGTCCGGCCTACCTCAGAACTAGATGCCCACTCCAGTTCAGAAAGGCCACGCTGGGTGTGGAAAAGGGCAGTGTGTGTGCACACCACGGACTGTCCCCTTCTGTGCCGCTCCTGTTAACAAGTGGCTTCTCAGGCAGAGGCAGTCGGCAAACGTGGGCTACACACAGAAGCCTGAACCCCAACTAAATCTAATGTAGGCTCTTGGCAGTCGGCACACGGAGTAGGGCCATCCCAGAATGTTTCCCGTTAAAGTCCAGCAGCAGCAGGCTGTCAGGAGTGTCCCCCGAGTGCCTCTGTGACTCTGGGTGCCTGACACAGGCTCCTGGGTTCAGAGCGCCAAGGCGCAGCTCTGGCCCCCAAGGCTGGTGTTTTGGTGGGCCCTAACTCACCTAGGAGGATGGCTTCTTCCCCTCCCTGCTGGGGGAGGGCTTCGCAGCACGTAGCCCAGAGGGGGTGTCTCAAGCAGGCAGCCCAGCCAGCTCATGAAGTGAAGTGAAATGCATGCGCCCTCCGCTGGTTCGCTGGCCCTGAGGAGGGACTCTGAGCACTCAGGGCGTGGGGCTTCAGGGCTCACTGGACACAGCAGCTTCGGGGAAGGGGGTGCAGGTGCTCTGGAGGAGGCCCTGGCAGTGGCCTCCTGCAGTCTTCCACTTGGGCTGCCTGCTGGGCACTAGCAGCTCTGGCCCCATGTGCTTGCTGTGAACTGGAGGCACATCCTGCCTGCCTCTCACTCGAATCAAAGGGAGGCCCTCTGAGGACAGCATCAGCACGGGTGCCCCTGGGCTCCACTGTCCTGCCCAGCAGGCACAGCCGTGACCCAGCTATCCTTTCGGGAATCTAGGGCCACAGTATACCTTATTTTTTCTGCCTACGATGTCCACATTTGTGCCAGCTAGGCCCCTCTCGTCCTTCTGGGATAGCTGACAGCCAGCTTCCATGCAGTGGCCTTAAGCCTGCCTCCATTACTGCTCCAGGCAGCAGTGCAGCACCTTGGGCTGTGGCTGCAACCTGCTATGCTCCTGATAGGTCAGCGCACAAGGGGAAGATGACAGCTGGACTGTGCCTCCGTTTGGAAAAGCAGCTTAGGAGGCTGCTTGTAGCAGAAAGGAGTTGGCCAGATCATTCCCTTTGATATCTGGAGGATGATTCCCATCTACAGAAAGGTGACATCAGCTCTAAGACCCTATGCACTAACTGTTCACAGGGACATGGACACATCTGAACAATTTAAGCCTGGAGGCTGCAGAGCCCACACTATTGGTCAGCTTTGTCAAAGGACACATCTGCCCGGCCGGGAAGTGCACAGGCTGCTAGGAGCACGGGGCTACTCCAACTTAACAGAACACACTTAATCTCTGCAGTGGAGTGCTGGTGCTTGGCTTTCAAGAGCTTGAACCCTGACCCACCAACTCCCCCTTGGCTTTCAAGAGCTCCACACTTGGCTGCTCTGGACATTTTCCAAAGTGGTAGCAGCTGACGGCTCAGCCAGGATAACATGGAGAACTAAAAAACACACAACTAAGAAGAGTTGTATTCTTTAAGCCACCTTGTACACACCACACACACGCTAGACGTCAAATGACTTGCATGGATACTGCCTACCCAAGAACAGTGGGTGGTGGAATGTGGAAATGCATCCTGGCTCATGGTCAAGTCCAGCAGAGCCATTTGAGGAATGCACTCTGTATTTCTTTAGAGACTTTATTGCCCAATAAAATGGCTCATTCCCCTTTGTAGCTCCCTTGTTACAACCTTTAAAATGTTCTTCTTGAAACTCCTTCACTTCCTGCCCCACTGAAAAATTTCTTTTTTGAAAGGATATAGCATAGTTATCACTGCTGGTCAGAAGCAGCTGGAGCAAAGGCCCGAGGCTGCCATCTGAGCAGGGGTTTGCATAGGGTTACAGCCCACACAGACCTGCTGGCCCCTTGATGCCAAGCCTGGCTGACCTCTGTGGTGACCTGTGTCTGGGCTCACTTACACTGGAATTACTACATTTCACTGTTTTGTTTTCCCCTGCTCCCCCTGCCTTCAAGGGGACTGAACTCTTGGGAAGCAAATCTTCCTGGAGCTGTGTGCATGTCTGGAGTTGGAAAACATTCCATGCAGCATTTCAACAGGGTACGAACAGAAACTACAAACCAGTGGTTATAAAATGGGAGCTTAAATAAAACAAGTGCTCTACTAGAACCTGGAGTGGTAACACTGTTGGGAGTGGGGCCCTCCTGTAGGTTTGTGGATTTTTGAAGCTTCTATGCAGCCTTCAGACCCTTTCTAGTCACTGCAGGCACAGTGTGGGCTTCGGAAGGAGGCAGGGGTGTAGAAGGCTGACCAATACTGGCCAGCACCTGGGGGCACCTCGCTGGCTGCATCCCTGCAGGCACTTCGCATGGCTCCCTCGTTCTGGGGCTAGCGGGAGCAATCAGGGTCGGAGGTGCTGTCCGGGGCCTGGCCACGTAGGCTGGCAGGAGGTGGAGAGGGCTGGGAAAAGGCCACACCAGCAGTGAAGACTGGCCACAGGACCAATTTTATTGGAAGGCTGGGGTTTAAAGATGGAACCTAGAACACAGTCCCCTCCCCACTATCAAGAAAAGAGAATAAAAATGGAGACTGCGCTGTCAGATGGGAAGTGAAGCCAAAGCTGTGGCGGCTGTCAGCAGCATATCCCTGGGACTCCGCAGGACGGGTGGCAGCTGTGGACAGAGTGGAGAGTAAGACAGCCTTTTGGTCCTCCATAGCAAGAGCGGCTGTTCAAGTCGAGGCACAGTGTGGTTTGCAGGAAGGTTGGTGTGGACGCCCACCTGCCTACCCTCAGGGATATCTGAAAAGGTGCCAGGCCTCCATTCTCCCTGCCCTAGCCTGTCTCCACCCAGAGTTGGCCAGGGAGCCTTCCTAACCAGCCTGGGACTGACAGGAGCCTGGGGCTGGCTGCTTGCTTATGCCATGCATGGCCAGGTGCTGCCTCACCAGGGTCCTCACGGTGGCTCCATGAGCCATCCCACCAGCCTCCAGTTGAGCCACGAGCAACATGTATTTGACCCGGAGCTAGTGCTTACCACCTCCTGCCTCCTGGTGAAGATGCAGGCACAGGGAGGTTTAGGCTGGAGCAGCGAGCGGCCTGTGAGACACGTGTGGCCCGACACCTGTCGCAGCATGTGCACCTCCATCCGGCTGGCTCAGGAGGGTGCCACAGTCTCACCACATGCCATCTCAGCCAGCCTGGGAGAGGGCGCACCTGCAACTTTCTTTAATTAATAAATGTGTTGTGGGAGGTGAGATCCTGACACCAAAGTTGAGAGAACAATGGGTTCTACAGAGCCAGGATTCCAACAGGGACAGGCAAGCGGCCTTCAACTGTGCAGACACATACCCTCGACAAGTGGTGGTGCAGACATGGACGTCTGGTGCCACAGCGAGAGCTGAAAGCGGGGTGTGGGTGGAGGGGGAGGGGCCGACACTGAGTGTGGGCAGGGACAGGTGGCTGTGAGGGGGGAACCACACGATGCCAGTGGTCAGCAACACCATGAAGGCTAATAAATAGACAGGGTAACAAGCACTCAGCCTGGGACGGGGTGTGCAGGACGCAGAGACCCCTGCCACTCCTACAGCAGGTGCAGGTGACCAGTGTCTCTAGTAAAGACATAAAAATGAAGCCACTTCTTTTCAAGTATTAAAAAAATAAGTTAATTGACAAAAAGCGTCCAAAGCAGCTGAGCATCTTACCAGGCAGTCAGCTTCGTTTCAGTGTGCAAACACAGGAAAAACACCAAGGAACAAGGTAACCTCCTGCCTCGATGTGGAGCGCTGAGCAGTGGCGCCTGCCTGTCCACTGGGGCTTGGGATGTAGGGCCTCTCCCACCCCAAAAGTCTGGATTTTCCAGTGTCAAAATGGTTGTGAATTAAAAGCAAAATGTAGCAGTCTACAGGCTTTGGGCCACAGCCAGAGAGGGGGCCTCAGGCACTTGGCCACTCAGGGCCCAGTGTGTGGTGCAGGCCGGGGGGCAGGCTCTCCGGGCCCCAGAGCTGGGTGGGTGCTGCCCCTCCTGGGTCAGGACTCAACACTTTTGCTTTTTCGGGAAAAGCATCTTTGACTCTTTGGTAGTGCTTCAGGCGCATGAAGACAGCTGCTCCCACGCTCGCAGGGCTACCCTCGGGCAATGGTTCTGTCAGGGGCAGCAGCCTCCTCCCCTCAACAGCGTGCCTATGGGTGGAGAGGCCCCAGCCACCATAAGCCTGGGCAGCGAGCAGGCATTTCGTTTCACGCCGTCTTCTCTCCCTGAAGCGGGAGGTCAGGCTGGGCCTCTCTGCGGGCGCCCGACCATCTCAGTATCTCTTCACCTGGGTTTTCCGCAGCACAGATGCCTGGCCTGATTTTCTAGAGGCACATGGGCATTTGAGTGCAAACTCCCAGGCCTTCTCCAGTCTGGGACTCGGTGGTCTGGAGGAGCCCAGCCCTGGTCAGGTGGGTGCTGCAAGGGCGTGCGCAGGGGCTCAGGACCAGTTCAGGCTGAAGCCCTTTGACAGCATGACAGCCTCCAGGTCCCTGTCCTCCTCTTTCTCTCGCAGCCGCTGCTCCTCTAACAAGGCCACGAGGGAGTCTCTCTGCTCGACCACATCCAGCATCTCATTCAGGATCCTCTTCTCCTCTGACAGCTCCTCCTCCGTCTTCAGGTGATCTGGGCAGCAGCCGGAGACGTTAGGTCTGAGGCCAGGATGCAGCAGCCCCCGCCCCCGCCCCCGCCCTGGCTCCCTCTCACCTTCCACTGCCATCCGCTCCCGGAGCTCCTGCTGCAGCCGGCTCTGCCGGTCCTCCAGTTCCAGCTCCCGGGCACTGGCATTGCAGGCGAGGGGTGATATGAAACAGTGACTTGGGGACTGTGTCTCCTCATCCCTTAAATTAGGGGACAGACCCTGAGCTGATGCCCCCTTAGCTGGGTCCCTGCCCAAGGGCTACTCACAAAATCATCAGCTCTGACTCGTAGCGCACCATGGCATTTTTCTCTTGCACCAGCTTGAACCACTCCTGCATCAGCTTCGGGTCGTCCTTCTTGCCCATGCCTGCCAAGCCAGAAGGTGTGTCAGGCGCGGCGGGTGTGCACCGTCCACCCGCCGGGAGGGATCAGCACACGGAGGCAGACGTGCAAAGAGCCGAGCAGGATGCGGCCGGAACACTCCTGAGCCAGGGCTGAGGCGGCCTGTGCCTGACCTAGTGGGCCTGCCTTCCACCTGTCCTTCTGGACTGGCTCTCACCCCTCAGGAACCTGGTCCCGGCTCATTTGGACCTCACTCACTGGTCATCTCTTGGTATGTTTCCAATGCTCTGCCCTCCTTTATTCTTTTCTCGTTCATCTAGTATGTTTGGTACTTGCTATGGACTATGTCCGTTTTGAGGGAAACAGTCTAATGAAAAAGACTCTAATGAAAAAGGAACTATACTCATTAACCCAGCCCTTCCCAGGGAGGCGTCCCCTCCGGGCCACTGGCACTGACACTTCTATCCTGACCAAGGAGGCACCCTTCTTTGCTTGTGGCCTCTCAGGCTTCCTGATAAACTCTCCCACAAGTCCCACATATCCTGGGGTGACTCTGAGGTTTCCTACCAGGGCAGAGAAACAGAAACAAGGAGGCAGCTTCCCTGCCGGCTAACTCGGCCTGTCCTCACCGACACAGGATGGTCTCTGAATCTCCATGGGGAGAGGCCTGGCCCCGCTGTGCCCACCTGCAGCAGGAGGATGGAAGGAAGGGCTCTCCAGGGGATACACCACCCAGAGAGGGAACCAGTTCCTTTCCCCTGGAGCACAAAGAAGCTCATAGCAATAGTGTGGTCCTGCCCAAAGGCAAGAGACTGTGCCAGAGGGTTTTCAATATTTTTGGATTACAAACCATTTTGAGAATCTTAGGAAAGCTAGGGACACACCCAACAGTTAGTATAGAACTCCAGGCTGTTCACAGGCTTCCTGAAGCCCACCTGTGGGCACCAAGCGAAGAGGCACTGGACTGGGAAACCTTCTAAAGTGCTTTCTGTTTTATGAGCCACATGGTTGGAATTTCTACCCCAGTGAAGACACCGGGCACACACCATCCAGTGGGACGCTGCTCACGGCCTCCCTGTGCTCTCCCCACTGGCACTCTGTGCACAGACAACTCTCTGTGGGTCTGTTTGCTTGACAAGCATGAGGCCCAAGCCAGGTACTCTGTCAACAGGGCCGCACTCGGGCAGGGCAGACGAGTTGCACTCACGTGAGCAGGGTCCGTGTGCGGCCATGCTCCCGGGTGAGGCCCTGCCTATGTCCTACTCTGAAGGGTGGAAGCTCCCACCTGGGCAGCCAGGCCTGATGCTGCGGAGTGTGAGCCGGGGCATCTGTGGGCCCCAGCTCTCCTCACCCAACCCAACAGAGTTGGTCCTTTGGCTTTTCACGCAGCCCATGGCTCAGTTCCACGCATTCCATTCTGAGGGTCTCTGCACAGTGTGCCCACGTGGCCATGGAGATGGAGTTCTGAGGCATGCAAGCTGCCCAGGTGGCGTCTTGCCCTCCTCCCCACCTCCCATGTGCAAGGACAGAAAATTCCATCAGGAGACATCTGAATACCACTCACGAGCTGTGCTAGAGACTGTTCACAGCTGATGAGCAAAGGCACAGGGCAGGGCAGATGACAGATGTGGGCACCACAGAGGGCAGGGAAGGCCAGTGAGGGCCAGTCACGGCCGCACTCCCCTCCCCTCCCCCATGCCTTTTCAAGGACGATCTTATCACAACAGACTTCAAATCAGACAAACTAAAAACTAAACAAAACAAAACCACACCCACACTCAGCAAGACACAGGGTAGAGAAATCTGCTTTTAGCAGTTGTTTTGGAAAAGAATTTGCGAGGCGTTTGTTGCAGATCAGTTCTTCTAAGGGCAGTATTCCTCGACTAGGCCATACAAGTCGCTGCCTTGCAGAGGGGAGGGTCCCCGCCTGTGTCCGTGGTCCCTCTACCTGCTACATTTGAGACCAAAAGGCTCAAGCACAAATGGAGGTGCAGAAGCCTGGTGCGCCCGGCCACAGCCTGTAAGGTCCACGCCTGGAGGCTCTCTGGCTTCACTCCAAACCCCGGTCCTCCCGAGACAGTCAAAGGGATACTGTACTTTTTAAGAAACTGCCACATACTGGTGGAATTTTGTAACGGGCTACATCAAATGTCGAAGCAGGAAAGAGAACTAGCTGGGGTTCTGTCCCTGTTGGACAGGTGTCGCTATGGCCCCTGAGAGGTGGTGGAGGATGCGGGTTACGTTACCTTCCTGGACACAGCACGGGCAGAAGGAGAGAGGTCTACGCCGTGGAGTCCCGCCACTGGGCTCGACTTCAAAAGGGACCAGACAAGGAGGAGGAGGAGACGGAGGAATACAAAAAGGAAGAGGAGGAGGAGGAGTTTAGAAGTGGAGAGGGAAAGGAAGAGGTGAATAAAAAACAAGCAGAGGACAAAAAGCATAAAAAGTGAGAAAGGAACAACAGGAGGAAAGGAAAAAAATACAAGAAATGGAAAAGCAGAAACAAGGGAAACAAAGTCTACAAATGAATTAAGTCCTTTTTTTCAGCACAGAAACTGAACCAGGCAGACCCAGGCACAGGGCGACAGTTCCCGACAGGGGCGTGTCCTGTACAGGAATGAGTGGTCCCCGCCCCGGTGGGGGGTCAGGCAGGTGGCCGGTGAAGTCAGTGGGTCTGCTTCCTCTGCTCCTTCCTGGGAGGGCAGTGACGCTGTGCTGTCACCACATGGGGCCTTTTGGACTTCGGGTGTCGGGCTCCCTCCTCAGAAATGCCCAGCGTACCTGGACAGCGCTGCCCGAGATCGTGTCCAATATGCAGCCTCTGCTGCTGGGTGTGCAAGTGGCAAACCCACAGGAAGCGTTCTAAGCTGTCACCACAGACACATGCGCTCCAGGTAAAACAAACTGTGGGTGAGCCTGCCTGCAGAAGGAAGCTGCAAGTCTACAGAGGAAGCGCCTGCTCGTGTCGTGGGCTTTCAGGGCTCTGGTGCCTGCAGCACTGTGAATCCTGAGCCATAACGTGCTGGGGAAGACTTATCCACACAGAAGCAACTTTCACCAGTCCACGGCATGGTGCCCCACATGCCCAGGAGAGCCAACCGTGCCCTTTCTTTCTGCCCCACCCATCTCCACGGAGGGGGCCAATGCCACAACCGGGGAAGGCGGTCACACTTCGGACCATAAGACCAAAAAGGGGGTGAGCTGACAGGACATGCCAAAAACTCAGTTACAATGCTGTTAAGAGTCGTGGACGGGGCGACTGAGAGACGACAATGTGCAGAGAGGCATCTCTATTACGCAGGGAGACCTGACAGTTACTCCAGGAAGAGGAAGAGGAGCTCAGCAAGGGACCATCACAGAGCCACAGGGCACACACAGGGGACATTGAGCCAGAAGGGGCAGCTTGGGACAGGGAGGTTTTATAATTGGAACAGGGTTTGAGAAATAATCCGGTTTTAGCCAACAGAAGGGCCAAACAGATAAGCTACTAGCTGAGAGGCCCTTCTACTTTGCTAAAGCAGCACACCTCTTTCTCTGAAGCCCTCACAGCACCCCCACAGCTTGTGCAAGTGATTCTGACATCAGGTGTAACTTCAATACTGCAGCCCGAGACTGTGTGCATGTGCAATGCTGATCCTGCCCAGAGTTCAAAACAGAGATGACAGTGACCACCTGATGTGCCGGGGCAGGGGAGAAGGGTTCCTTCCCTAAAAAATACACCTTGCTTATAGCCGATCCACATTCAGCCTTCTTTGTTTCAAGGTGCAGTTGGTGCTGGTGCCCAGAACACCTGCATAAACCCCACGAACCACGATGTCTGTGAACAATCTCTGCCACTTCCTTGGACTGATGTTAGGCGCATATGCTGTGGTGCAGTGTTAAATGTCCACATTCATTAGCAAGGGACAGTGACATGATACACAATCAACACACATTCAGAGTAACAAAGTCAGTGTCTGCACATGTGCTTGCTGCATATCACAAAATACAGCTTTTAGCTCCTTTTATATAGACCACATCCTCACATACCCTTTCTAGTACAGAAGACAATATGAGATAACAGAATATTCAGAACAGGAATTAGGAAATGAAATTAGAAAAGGGGGCATTAGGTAAATCAAGTGTTCTTTTAAGTTTCACAGGCTGCCGGCAGCCCGAACTGGCCAGAAGGGCCGCCCCCCAGCAGGTGGTGGGGGGGCTCAGGCTTGCGCCCCTCTTCTTTAGACTTTTGCTGCATGCACCAAACTTCCGTATGTACGTACATTTGTAAACAGGAAAAAATTTCCAGTAAGTACTGCCATAAACAAAAGAAACAGAGGGGAAAACTGACCCAACAAGTGGAGCACCTCCCAGACTTGAACCTGAAATGGGTGATGGGCACAGAGACACAGATTCTGAGTGTAGTTTCCTTGCCTTCTTAGGACATGTGAGAAATAGATTATTTGGTTCACTAGTTCTAAGGACAAAGATGTCAAGCTATGGAAATAGAAGTGTTTTTTTTTTGAGAGGGCATCTCTCATAGAAATAGAAGCTTTTTAAATTTGTTTTTCTAATGCCAGGGTGGTAAGTTCTTGTCTCTTTGTATTGGGCGCCACACCTATCACCTCTCAAACCATTTCTGGGTCCTCTGGGCTCCAGTCACCACTCCTGAGGGACCCTGGGGTCTGGTCCCGGTTGACGGTCTGCACTCTCATGCTGGACGGCTGCCTGCCTCCAGCCTTCTGCAAACGACTTGCCCATCTTTTTGCCTTGGCAGCACACTGAGTCTCTTCCTCTGAAGCAGTGCTCCCTCTGAGATGTGACCACTGCTGCTGGTCTCCAGAGCCCCCACCTGACATGTGGAGGCAGGTGATATGGGTCAGCCACTTCTTTTTTTTTTTGCTAAATACAAAGTAAATATCTTTGTATTTTCCTGCTGGGTCAGAAATACAAGGAGACCTGGACAAATCCACCAATCACTGTGAATATTTTAGCTTATCCCTCTTACAAATTGCTATATCAAACATACAAAAATTCAGTAATAATATAATTGAGTAATTCAGAAAATTGAGCTATGAAAGTTATAAGATTACTCCTATGCAACCACTGAGTATATACAGAATGTAGACTATATATATGTATACATATATATATTTTTTGGTATTATTAATATATTATTATTGAACAACATTATGGTTACTAGACTCCTCCTATTATCAAGTCCCCCCTACATACCCCATTACAGTCACTGTCCGTCAGCATAGTAAGATACTACAGAATCATTACTTGTCTTCTCTGTTATACTGCCTTCCCCGTGCCCCACCTATATTATGTGTGCTAATTGTAATGCCCCTTTTTCCTCCTTATCCCTCCCTTCTCACCCATCCTCCCGAGTCCCTTTCCCTTTGGTAACTGTTAGTCCATTCTTGGGTTCTGTGAGTCTGCTGTTTTGTTCCTTCAGTTTTTTCTTTGTTCTTATACTCCACAGATGAGTGAAATCATTTGATACTTGTCTTTCTCCGTCTGTCAGCCACTTTTGAGAAACAACTGAGTATCATCATACAGGAAAGCACATTTCATCCTATTCTAGCGTCACACATGTTTTATAGTTTCATAAACTTTCCCACTGATTCTTTCATCTGATCCTTACACTGGCCCAGGTGGCTACATGGACAGGCATTAGCTCATTAGAAAATAGTTTCAAATGAGGGATATGAGGCTGAAACAGGTTGAATGTGGCACAGCCTGGCTCAAACCAAAGCTTCCTATTCCATTCCAAACTAAGAATCTGTACTCTTTAAGGTCTAGCAAGGCCCAGCAAATCTAACAAATCTAACAGCTACTGGAAACAGCTTAAAGAGCAGTGTCACACACAGACCCTCCTCAGAAAGCTGACCTGGAGGGGTGCACCGCCCTCCCCCATTCATCCACAGAGGCCCAGAGAGGAGATGTATGGGCCTGGACCCAGGGCCTGCCTTCCTAGGTGGGGTGCCCTCCACACTACTACTCTGCTGACATGCAGGATGCCTGCCCTAGGCTCGGCCTCTAATGTGGCCCAGAACCCAGCAGGCCATGGGACAGCTGGCAGTGGGGGGAGTGAACAATCCTGGGGCAACTCCCCTCTTCCCTACAGTTGTCTTTCCTGTTTTTCTATCTTTCTCTACCTCCTCATAAAGACCTTGTCTGTCCAAGACACAGCACCTCAAAGCATGGCATCCTCCCCTCCCAGCCTAGCAAACAGCTGAATGAAATGTTAGGAGAGATGGAAACCTACTAACCAGCCAAGAAGGCACCAGCTCAGATGTTCAACTGGAATGCAGACAAACCCTACTCCAGCCCTTCTGGTAGTGAAAACCCCAAGGTCTGCCTGGTCCTGAGACCGAGGAGGGTGTAGAGAAGGGTTGGTGCCTTTCTTATAAGGCGAGGTGAATCAGAAATGAGAAAGGAAAAATCACTATGGACACCACAGAAATACAAAGGATTATTATAGAATACTTTGAAAAATTACATGCTAACAAACTGGATAACCTAGAAGAAATAGACAACTTTCTAGAAAAATACAACCTTTCAAGGCTGACCCAGGAAGAAACAGAAAATCTGAACAGATCAATTCGCAGCAGTGAAATTGAACTGGTAATCAAAAAACTACCAAAGAACAAAACTCCTGGACCAGATGGCTTCACTGCTGAATTTTATCAAACATTTAGTGAAGACTTAATACCCATTCTCCTTAAAGTTTTCCAAAAAGTAGAAGAAGAGAGAATACTTCCAAACTCATTCTACAAGGCCAGCATCACCCCAATACCAAAACCAGGAAAAGATATACAAAAAAGAAAATTACAGACCAGTATCTCTGACGAACAGATGCAAAAACACTCAACAAAATATTAGCAAACCAAATTCAAAAATACACCAAAAAGATCATTCATCATGATCAAGTAGGATTTATTCCAGGGATGCAAGGATGGTACAATATTAGAAAATCCATCAACATCATCCATCACATCAACATAATGAAGGACAAAAACCACACGATCATCTCCACATATATGCTGATAAAGCATTCGACAAAATTCAACATTCATTCATGATAAAAGCTCTCAACAAAATGGGTACAAAGGGCAAGTACCTCAACATAATAAAAGCCACATATGACAAACCCAAAGCCAACATAATACTTAACAGTGAGAAGCTGAATGCTTTTCCTTTAAGATCGGAAACAAGACAAGGATGCCCACTCTCCCCACTTTTATTCAACATAGTTCTGGAGGTCCTCACCACAGCAATCAGACAAAACAAAGAAATAAAAGGTACTCAGATTGGTAAGTAAGAA